TAAATTGAAATCGAAATGGAAGCAAACATATATATCTCTACTTATCCCAAAAATCGAAATGTAAGCATTGTGTGTTAGGAGTTCAGCAAAAATCGAAATGGAAACATATACCTCTACTTAAAGAAATCAAACGGAAATCGAACGATATCAGAACAAACGAACGAATGGAAATCAGACGGAAATTGAAATTTGGTAAACATTGTCGCTCCTTGCTAGTTGGATGAGAATCGAACGAACGAAAATGGTAGTTGGGGATGACATTCTTGACGGAAATCGAACGTAAATCAGATGATATTTGGGCTGGAAATCCGAAGCTCAAAGGTTAGATGAGAATCGAACGAACAAAAATGATTTGGGGATAACTTTCTTGACGGAAATCGAACAGAAATCGAATGGAAATCAGAGTGAAAATTGAAAAGTTAGGTTTTGTTTTGATGCTTTCAATGAAAAAGTGGTGGTGAAGGATTGACGTCGGACGAAAATGATGGAATTTGAAAAATTAAGTTTTCTTTTGGTTTGGGCTACCATCTTTGGGCTTTTGTATGTTAATAATGGGCTTGCAGGGTAATTAGGACTTTTAACAATCTGGGCCTCCGTGAGTGGGTAAAAAATTGCTATATTTGAAATTTTAGAATGTGAGTACTATTTTATTAATTTTATGTAATCTTTTTGCCATATTTGCAAGCAGCCCTTTTTGTTATTATACTTCTGAAATGTTCATTATGTACTTCCAATACTAAAAACTGACCAATTTTGGTTTTTATTTAAAAAAATTTAATACAAATTTTATACACAATGGAAACCCTTTAATACAAATTTATGTTACATTTCATGAAATTTAGGGAGTAAAGCGTCATGCTAAAATTACGATCAAAATAAATTAGATGAAAATGAAAATGAGGAGATCAAACTAATCACTTTTTTAATGGTACGGGAATAAAAATGGCCGATCTTTTGAAATTATGAGAACTAAAATGAACAAAAATTAATTTAAAGTACAAGGACCCATAAACGTTTTGAAAGTAGAAGGACCAAAATGAACCAAAGTCGTAAATAAAGAGATCAAAATACTT